ATGATGCTTGAAAATGTTGAAAATTTTGTAGAGTATCCTAATATTTTACTTCAAATAGTATGATTTGATATAATCAGGTTGAAAAAGTTTAAAAATCTGTTCTTAAATATCTTTTAAAACTTTTTTTCTAATTTAATTGCCCAAAAATGAATTAATTTTAAATCATAAGCAGTTAAACTCAAATTAAAATACAGTTTTATCTAAACTATGGGTTTTTGACAGTTTTTGACGTTTTGGACAGAGGGGATTTTTACATAACGGTAAAAACTATGGTATAAACCGGTAAAAACCGTCATGTGTCAAAAACTTGCCAATCCTGCTGTTGAAATGTTCGAATCCAACTTTGATTCCGGATTTTCCCGTAAACTTAACTCCGATCAATAAACACAATTAAAATTATCACTCTATTCTACGGAAGAATTAATTGTTACGAAATCATCTCTTATAACTTTTTTGTAATATTACTTAATACTATTTCACTAATTTGAAGGCTAACAAAAAAAAAAAAAAAACTCTAAGTTTATTTTTTTTATCTACTAAGTTGATAATTGAGTCGTTCAGCAGATTAATATAAGCTTCACTCTATAATTATATGCAATATAAATATGAACTTAATTTCGAGATTTGCTGTCAATTCCAAATTTAAAAAGAGAAGAAAATATTGGAAGCAATTTTTTTTGTAAGGCAGATTCTTTAATCACTTGATAGAAATCCTAATATATCCTATGAAATAAAAATGTTTTTATATATAATTGGAGATGATATTTCTTAAANGTATAGTCTCAGTACACGTTTTTTTTAAATACAACTTTTATCATAAAAGGCGTTGCAAGAATTTCTTATAAATTATTTTTTTTAAAAATAAAAGTTGATATCTTGTTTGATATTTTTATATTATTTGACTTTCCTTCTTTATTTTTAGAGTTAATAAGAAAATCTTGCAACAAATTTTAAGATAAAATTTCATAAAATATTATAATATCAGAAAAATTAACTGAAGCTATGTTAACTTGATTTTCCCAAAATTAGAAAGTTACACTCAATATTCTAATTTTTACTTCGTCAAGTAAAACCATAAAGGAGTTGTTTTGTAAAACTTTTAAAAAATTTTCTATTCTTACTCTTAAGCAATCTCGTGATTGAAACTGTTTCTTAATTTTAACTACAAAACACTGAGTACTATATTTAAACAAAATAATGCGTTTAAATGTGTCCTAATCAAATTCTTTTATTCACAATAAATCAAAAGTTGAAAAGAGAATAACACAACATTCGCAAATGGCTAAGTTCACCCGTTCTTTAATTCCAAAATTTATAATTCCGCACATTTGTAAATTGACTAACCCATAAAGATTATGAAATTGTTTTGATAAATGCAATACTATCAGTAAATGTATTATATTCTAATTATAAATCTAATCCTGTTTGCAATATCTCGAATTTAGTAACTTGGCATAATATATTTTGATACATTTCTTGGCCAAGTTAAAGCTTATTGCCAAGTTAGTGCTTGATTTTTATAAATTGCACCCATCACGTGTCAATGAGAAGAGGGATCTACCTGGAAACGGGTGGGGGTCATAATTGAGACAATTACGGAGCGCAGTCCACCACTTCCCAAGTAACTTGATCCTGATTGATTAATCAAAAGTGGCATTTTTGATCAATCATTCGAAATTCTTTATCAAAGATTTCAATTCTTTTATTATATATTTACGCAGAGATTTAACACAAAGACAGGCACGAAACCATGTGGAACATAAACAAACTAATTATGCAAAGAAGTTTGCCAGGTACTCAAAATAAAAATATATCGCGATTAGAATAAAATATATAAACAAATAATAACTCTAAGTTAAGTAAAAAAAGTAGTTGAGATAGAATTATATTTCAGCAATTTCGATGTGCGATACAGCTCTGTATTAATTAACTTAACAATAATTAACTNATATTTATGGCAAATTGTTATTTACTATTTATATTTATTGTTTTTTTTAATTGTTTTTTTTAAAAAATAAAATAAACATATTTCGGTAAAACAATATTGTTATCTATCAAATATTATTTTTATAAAATTACATAGATAATTTAATATGTTATAGTATTTAAAATTTTGATTTAAATTTTTTGAAATTTTTGTTGATTGTTAAATTTTGTTGTGTACATTTATTGCATTTTACATATTAAAAATGTATATATAAAAAATGTATTGCAAAATATTTATGTCACGCCTGTGTGACTTCTTTAGTACCCCGATTAAAATTAACTATTTAACATAATTTACGGATAAGATATAATTAACAAAATTGTACTTTAACTGCCTTAACTGGAAAAAAAAATTTTTTTGTGATTTACGACTATTTTTTAAAAAAAGCTATAAAAGTGATAAAAGAAATAACGCCTTATTTATTTCCTTCATTTTTTTTATTATTTACAGTGATGTTCTTTTTTTTTTTAATATTTTAAAAAGGGACTTGATCACTCTTTGTAAAGCATTTTTAGGTATTTACAAAATATAATTCCTACAAATATTTATTTATGATTTATCATGTCATTTTGTTTGAATTCATAGTTCAATTTTTTAAAATGCTATGTTCATTATTTATATTGTGTTAATTTCATATTGAAAAAATTTTCTGATAAAAAATGTAGCATTTTACAAATTATTTAAGGCAAGAATGCATACAAAAATTTATCCGCACTTCCAAACCTTGTCAATTTTTTTCCGAAAGAAACCTATTTCTGTATCTCCATTTAAGACTTTAGTCCCAGTTCTTAAAATAATAACAGTGTAAATTATAACAAGAAATAATATAAACACATAAAATTCTTAAATAAAAATGAAAAATGAAATTTTAGTAATAAATAAGCAGTAAAAATAAATAACTATTCGCAATCAAAATTACTAAAATTAAATAAATATGCATATATTAATATTTGAAATGCATAAAAAACAATCACACTTGGATTAAGATTTTTTTTTTTAAGTTCACGAAGGGCATAATTGATGTCAGATAATTTTTCAGATTAATGTTTCAGTTTAATGAATAAATACTTATTTAATTTTTATCTACATTTCTTAAATAGCCTTTGATGTGTATCACATGCAATTATATAAAACATGATGGTAAGAAAAGATAATCCTTAATATAAATTTTTATAAACCTTGTCAAAAATAAAGATAAAAATCTACTTCAGTGGGTGTAGTAAATTAAAACTTAAATGAGAAAAAACAAGCATATGAATTTATAAAATATCTAATACGATATATTGATAATAATCTTCATAATAATAATAATAGGGCTGTTTGATTGTCAGGTGAATGTTAAAGTTTTTAATTTATAAATTTATTTAATTAGGTAAAAAATCGTTAATCATACATGTCTTGATGCCTTTTTACGCTCGCCTTCCTCAACAGCGATTTGTCTGTTTTCGATTGTTCTTTTATTCTCACCTCACTTAGTTAAATTTCCAACGTGCGACCTCTATGCGTTCTTTTTCGCGTTCACTTGGAACAAAATTTCTTAAAATGAATACCAAGAGGGGTGATTTTGAATAAATAGCATATTATTAAATTATATTATCAAATAGATTAATGTTGTAATTTTGCGTCTAAAAGATATTTTAAATAATAGAAGATCGTTACTTTCAGTAACTTTTATTAACTTAATTAAAAATAAAAAACGCTCAATCTCAAATCTTAAAGCTCAAGGCTCTATAAATTGTGAAAATTTTTACAATAAATATAAAAAGTATGTAACCATCATTTCTAGCACTTCATCATAAGTTGATTTAATGTTTGCTTTGCAAAAAATATGCAAAATGTATTTAAATTTTTAGTACTTTTACGTATTTAAAAAACTTTTTAACGATAACAAGAATTGAAGGTACATATTTCTTAAAAAAAGAAAATTGCGAAAAAATTCTGATATAATATAAAATGAATATTAACTGTATAATATAAATTAATATTATTGCGGAATTGAAAATTTGACTGTTGAAAATTCTGTTGTTTTCTGTTGAAGATTTGACTAAAATTAACAAAGAAATTTACAAATGTTCATATAATTTTAATGACCCGAGTATTCTTACCCCTCCCTTCAAAAAAAGATATCTAAAGAGAAATTAAAATATTTAATAAAACTAAATTTTAAAAAAATAACATTAATCACATCGGAAACATACTTTCCTTACACATGTATAATCCTTAAGATCTGATTAACAGTGCCCATTACTGAATTTTTTCTATTATGAAGACAAACCGCTTGTAAAACTTATATTCCAAAAGTTTGTTTCAGACTTATAAATTTAGAATCCGAACTTTAATTCTTAGATCACCAATTTAAATGAATATTTTTTCCCTCTCCAACATTGGTTATTCAGTCCTCCTTAAGAGGAAGGGGGGGGGGCAGTTCCTTTTAGAACTTTCCAAGGTTTTTTATTATCAAGTTTTATAAAATATGTTAATTTTTAAATATCTTTACGGTTACTTACTTTTATACTCCCAGAATTATGAGTTGTTTTCTTAAATTAAAATAATCGTTATACGTTATAGAAATCGAAGACAACAAGAACAAGCGAACACCGTATCATGTCAAGTATTTCTAAAAAACGGAAGCGAATAAAACTTCAATGTTGTATTTGTGGTAGTCAATTCGATGATGATTATAGAAATCGCCATGAAAAGGCATGCCATGAAGGAAAACGTGTTCAAGTTAAAACATTAGACGCACCATCGAGCCCTTTTGAAGCTGCAAAGAAAAAACCCCAAAACAGCCAAGTAAGTGACATTTAGTTTTTGAATAAGTATATATATATAATATATATATATATATATGATTTTGTGAATCATTTTAATTTTTTAAACAAACAGTTGTGTCCTTCATTTTGCATAAATTAGGAACTGATGTTATTTATTAAATTCAAATTTTTAAAATATCATTTCTCATTGTACACGTTTACAAGTGAGCAATGATAAAAATCCATTTATAAATAGGAGAACCTTATAAAAAGCACATAAATGACTAAAAAAGTAACTTAATTGCACCAATTTTAAATTTATGTTTATTGATAAAAAATGTTCATTACGAAAATTATAAATGAAAAATTTACTGAGATGTTTTTGAACATAAATGCCTAAGTTTGCATAATGTTTTTGAAATTAATTAATTTAGGGTGATATTGTATTATTGTTGGCATGAGGGTGATATATATCTCATCATTTAAAACGCATAAAAATATTAATATTTAATTTTCAAATCCAAGAGATAAAAACTGTATTACGGCATGCATATATTAAATATAAGTATTGTTTAAAGTCCTTGCAAATACTTGTTCTATTTTTATTTAATTTTGTCTTTTGCTTATTTATTTGTTTAGAATAAGAGAGTATTTACATAAGACCTATAATTCGATGGAATCGCTTTTTATGGCTGGTTTTGAATAAATTTAACTGAACTGGCTAATATTATTTCAAGCAATTACCAGCTAAATACTCTTCCATAAAAAGGGATTTTTAAATGAGATGAGAGTTCGTAAAAATAGAAATAGCATTAATGTGATAGTAAATTTTACTTACAATTTTTAATTTAAATAATGTTAAGCTGCATTACGTATGTAAACATATATATATATGGGACTTAAGATTCTTCAAAATATGTCGATTTTCTTGTTTACACCAGTGCTTTTGATTTTGCTCAATATAATATAATTGATGCGTATATAGTGTATAGGTAAAAGCAGATATTGAGCAATGAAAACAAAACTAAACTCTAATAGCCAAAGTGTGTATAAAAGTTTCGGCTTAGATTCTAAATTCGTTGTAAGAAGTTATGTTTCAAAGAAAGTAAATTTTCTTATATGAATTCATTACTTAAAACACAAATGTGTTTATAATGTACAAAATTTCTTTTAGAGATATAATTTTGCAGAACTTAGATTTATTGATTTTAAAAGTGAAATGGCAACAAAAAAAAATTCCCAAAATAAAGAATATATAATATATAAAAATTTTTACAGTCTGAAAATTGGCACTTTTTAAAGAACCATAGATCCCAATTTTTAAAAAAATAGCTGAAAAATTTATTTTATTTATTATTATTTCAGAATCTTCATCATTTGACAGAAGTTGTAAGCGAAATTTCAAGCAACTTTCCAAAAAGCACTGTTTCCTTTGAAGTTAATAAGTTAGCTGGCCTTGAAAAAGAAACTAAAGATGTAGAAAATGAAGAAATAGAAAATGCTTCGAAAATCACTGAAGAGTTAATAGAATTTTCCGAAAATTCTATGAACACAAATGAATCTACAGATCCTGAAGAACGAAAAATTGTGGATGTAGAAGCTATTACAGAAAAAGCAATTGAAGAACTTAACCATGCTTCGAAAAATCCTTCTTTTGAAACAAATCAGTTAGTTCTTAACTCCGAAGAAAGGAAAGATGCGGTTGTAGAAGTTTCTCCAAGAGTAAGAAAAGAAAAAAATGAAGAACTCATTACTATTGCTTGTCATTCTCCAACCAAAGTAACCGACACTACAATATTACTAAGATTCGATGAACAAAATACTGATGGTAATCAACAAAATACTGAAGGTAATAAGTCTTGGTTGACGTGTTTAGCTCAACTTTCAGCGCTAGTTACTGAGGTTGAAGAGTGCAAGAAAATTTTAAACCATATGAACGAAGAAGGATTTGCAAATCCTTTGATTTTTTTGTCTGAAAGCATAGAAGTCATAACGAGTGTAAAAGAAAAGTGTAGCTTGTATTTAAATGATGCAACCACGGCTCTAGATGCAATTTTAAGCAGTCGGCAAGTAAGTTCTCATTCTGTATCGGAAGAACATCATGAAATAGTTGAGCATGACCCTGGAAAACGCAAACGTATTTGTTCTTCAAATCAAAGGAAGTATTTAATTTCCCTTGGACCAAATCAGCCAAAACTAACAGCTTTTCCGGCTAATAATGAAATTCCTCAGTCCAAGCAAAGACGCTTTAATCCCAGCTGGTATAAGGAATACCCACATTTGGAGTACAGCGTATTTAAAGACGCTGCATTTTGCTTTGTTTGCAGTCTCTTCCCTGCATGTACTAATAGGGAAATAACTGGTGATGTGCCCTGGATTGACGAAGGTGTCAGGCAATGGCATAAAATGAAAAGTGTTGGTAATAATAAGCTAGGTAAACTCGCAAGCCATTTCTCCTCGTGCAAAGCATCCCTCTCCACCGGCATTGAAAAAAGAAATTGTTCGTTCTTTTATAGATAACTATTTCGTACGTCACATTGATTGAATGCTTGTTTCTTGAATTCCCTTCATTTTCTTCCTGGAAACGAATCTAGAAAATAAACTCAAACACTAAAGTTTATAACTGGAAACTACTTATTTCCACAAAAATGAATTCTTGTATATATTTGCGCAAGCAATATATAAGCATATAGTTTGTAAAGTCCAAAAATCAGGTATGTTTGCGATCATGGCGGATTGAACACCTGATACCTCTCACAGAGATCAGCTATCGTTAGTAATTTGATATGTAGATGATAGCAGGAATCCAAACGAGAGGCTCTTAAAAATTACAAAAGCAAAAAATAAAACAGGCTCTGGAATTACAGTTAAAAAATTTGTCTCAAACACGCTGAACCAACAGGTCTGAATCTGTAAAAGCTGTTTGGCAGCCTTTTGATGTTATTATATCTGTTCTAGATGATATTTCATCCTCAAAAAAATTTGACTCAAAGACAGGACTTGGGGCAACAGGATTACAGAAGAAAATGCTTTCATTCGATTTTATTTCTACTATACTGTTCATGAAAAATATATTGTATAAATTAAAAAATTTAACAGAGGCTTTGGAAGCAGAGAAACTAAATATTATCGATGCCTCCATTCTAATCGAAAGCGCCATAAAATCTTTAGAAGATATCAATTATAATAAAAAGAGCATGGACGATTTATTGGAAACTGCAATTGCATTTTCAAAACAATGCGAAACTGATCCATTCATGGAATTTAAAAAGCATCACAGAAGAAGGATTGCACCAAAAAGATTGGACGAGAATGCGGAAACTCAAGCTAAGTATTCTCTGAAAGATTTCTATCGAAAGGAATTTACAGCAGTGTTGGACACTATGATTACATTATGTAAGGACAATGTCCAAACGTTTGTCAACGTCTTAAAACCCCTGTTTGACATTTTAAAAGCCTCCTATGGAAAGAAGCCGATGTACTTTGGAAAATGTTGAAAGGGCTCTTTCACTTTTCCCCGCCAACTTAAAAATTTCAAATCCTCTGGCAGTTCAAGCAGAACTAGAGATTTTCTGCGATCATTGCAAAGAATACTCTGACTTAATGTCAGTAAAGAAAAAGTCAGAGGACCTGAAGAAAATATTGCCTTTGGCAAATTTAGTTTGTCGCTTAGTGCTAACTGCACCAGTGACAGTTGCGACGGATGAAAGAACTTTCAGCAAGCTGAAATTGGTTAAAAAATATCTTCGAACAACAATGACCAATGAACGCTTAAATTCCCTGCTTTTACTCAAAGCAGAAAAAGATATAGTTGACAATATTAAGCTTGATATGTTGGCAGAACATTTTTCACTTTTAAAACAACGCCGAATTAAATTTACGTAGCTAATATAATTAATATAACGTAACTTTGCTGATATCTTAATTTTTTTTATCCTTTTCATGTGAATTTCTTCATTTATAATTTAAGTGGCAAATATTTTTAATGTTTTTTTACGTTATTTTTTAAAAATAAGAATTGACAATTTACTTTTGAATCAATTTCTGATAGAAGACTGTGTATGCTGATTGTGACTTATTTCCTTATCTTCTAACAGTTGCTCTGTTTAGCTTTTTGGTAACAACATTTAGATGAAACAAAAGATAAGTTTAATAACATAGAAATTTTCAAAAAAAAAAATTAATTATTAAGTAAAAGTATTTAAAAGTTGCATTGAAAAACATTTAAATTTACAACTTTATTTTTTAAAATTATTTCCACAAATAATTATTGCTNGTAACAACATTTAGATGAAACAAAAGATAAGTTTAATAACAGAGAAATTTTCAAAAAAAAAATTTAATTATTAAGTAAAAGTATTTAAATATTAAGTAAAAATATTTAAAAGTTGCATTGAAAAACATTTAAATTTACAACTTTATTTTTTAAAATTATTTCCACAAATAATTATTTATTACTATTGCTGAAAACTTTATAGGTTTCAGTTTATTTAATAAACAATTATTTTTTTAAATATTTTTTACCAATTTAATAAAAAAAGTTTGTAGAAATTTAAAAAGTATGTTTTCTTTTTGATTTTGAATAATTACTGGTAACATGTAGTAGTAAATAATACCACATTTATACCTATAGCGTTTGCATTTTTAAGTGCTGTAAAAATTATTCATGACAGTCGGCAAAATTAACTTCAACACCCCCCCCCCCTCAGGAATCGGTTAGGGACGGGCCTGGATGGAGTTAAAAACTCGGAGCGCATGGGACTCCTTTCAATGTACAGTTGGTGCCCACATTTCTAAAACCTCCAGTGGTAAAATTAAAGTCCAACTTTCTTCAATAAGTCGGAGAAGAGTTGGAGTTACCGGGGGCAGCAAGAGGATACCCTCTGGGCGCCCACCAGTTCGTGAGAAACACTCGAAGAAAAAAAGAAAAAGAAATCTCGCTGAAAATGTGAGTATGAGACTTACTTATGGTTAATGATTAGCGATTACAGTGCACTTCTCACAGCTATTTACTTTTCAAGGAAATTAACAGAACTCTGTTTCATCATGTAAACTAGAAAATGACTAATAAGTAGAATGACCATGCTTTTGTGACGTCACTTCCGAACTGCACTTTTGGACAACAGGTTTTCTGTTGTCAAGATATATTAGTTGAAAAGTAAAGTTACGTGAGTAAAGTGCTCTTCATAAGAATCTAGAAAGATGTCGTGCAACGTAAGAGAATCGTTCTTTCCTTAAGTGATAAAACGAAAATTTTAAAAAGATTGAAAAATGGAGAAAGTGGAAGTAAATTGGCGTCAGAATATGGCGTAGAAAAAGCGACAGTGCCGGAATAGGAAAAAAAACTGAAGAATCCGTTATGAATTATGTTTCAGTAGTGGACAAAAACAATGGAAATTTAGATAGAAAATGCATGAAAAAGTCAAGCAACGATGAAGAGGACAAAGCACTTTATTTGTGGTTCCTGCAATAAAGATCATTAGGCCAACCAATATCTTATTATGCAAAAAGGCTTTATTTTTTCATGAGAAATTCGGTGGAAAAGGTACCTTTCAGGCTAGTTCGGAATGGTGAAGGAATTTTAAACATCGACTTTATTTGTTACGAGAGTTAGAAATTCATGGCGAAAAACTTTCCGTATCTAACGAAGCCGCTTCAAATTTTGTAAAGGAATTAGAAAGCATTATTGAAACTGAAGGATATGAAGAAGAATTTACTTGTAATGCGGTTGAAAGTGGACTGAATTAAAAATCTCTACCACGAAAATTCAGCTTCAGGAGATGAAAAACGTGTTTCTGGGAACAAGATAATTAAAGAAAGAGTCACAGTTAACGTATGCGCAAATGCAACTGGAAATCATCGAATGCCTTTAATGATGATTAGAAAATCCAAAATCTAAGAGCCTTCAAAAATGTTAAAACACTGCCTGTCATTTATGCACCTCAAAACAAAGCGTGGATGAACACCAAAATTTTTATTGACTGTTACGATAAGACTTTCATTCCAAATGTGAAGAAACATCAAAAGAATTTGGGGAAAACAGCAAATGCAATGGGAAAGATAGCTTTTGCAATGGCAAAATAAAGAAAAATGTGGTAAAATCAGTAATTGTCAAAAAAAAATATAAAAAGTTGAAATAAGATTTTGAAAAAAAATTCAAAATGAAAAAAATTTTTAAAAAAATAAATAAAAAATAAATATTTAAAAAATAAAAAAAAAAAAACTTTTAAACACGCCAGAGCTATTTTCGATAGTACTGCCAGTCCCAAGCCTGGAAAAAGCGTGAAGGGGAGTTAGTGCATAAATAATAATAATTTAAATTAAGATTTTAAACAACTTTCCAATTATCCGACCTTTTCATTATCCAAACCACGTTCGGTCCCGAGCAGTTCGGATAATCAGCGCTCTACTGAACTTCGATTTGTTGAATGGATATTTACACTATGACACTCATTTTAAAGTTACATGTGTGTCATAATAGAGTTTATATAACTAAAAGGCTCACTTTGAATTGATATCTTTTTCTTTTACTAGTCCCCTCTCGCGCTTGGGGGGGGAACTTCTTCGCTTTGAATTAAGTCAGCATCTGAGATTGTAATACGTTGTTATAGTTAATATCACGACTGTAACTTACTACTTCCACTTAATTTTTATTGTTTTGCTTATGGCAACGCTGTTGAAATGTCTTACGTTGGATATTTAGTGTTCGATTAATTAAGATTTATAAATATCGCTAAATTTAAGTTGGTTTAGAATTAATAAATGTTTGTTATGTTTTAATTTGTATCTGTTTATTCATCTGTAGAACTTCATTTGAATAATACTAAAAGGCGTCCGTAAAATTTATTTGTTTGCTGCAATTTACATTTCTGCGACAGGACATTTTTTCGAAACAATGTTTCAAGCAGCTAAAGGATTTAAAAAAGAAAATTTGTTATTCGTCGCCGAAGAAATTGGCGCAACATTACCTCAAAAGGTCACAATATCGGAACTGAAAGAAGCAATTTTGAAAAGTAAGCCGTATTCCGAAGATTCACAGTTTGTTGCTGATATTTTGGCAACGACTGTTAGTAACCGGAAACATAAAGAATTGGAGCAGGAGGAACAAAAACGATTAGAATATGAAGAACGGGAAAAAATAAGATTACACTATCTGGAGTTGGCTCGAATTCAAGTGAACCCACCAGTGGCAATGGCAGGTGAGTCCGAAAACTATTATTACTAGTGCTAGCAGGAAATTTAATTTGCCCAAATTAGAGTTTCAACAATTCAGTGGGGATATTAAGGAATGGTTACCTTTTTGAAGCCAATTCCAACAGATTCATCAAGATGTTGATATTGCGCCCGAAAATAAATTTCAATAGCTTATTCAAGCTACTGTAATTGGGTCTCGTCTTCCGTTAACCGGAACTAACTACGCCAAATTGATAGCCTAAAAGTTCGGTTTGGAAAAGATGAACTTTTGGTCGAAGTTTCTGTTCGCGAACTATTAAAATTAATCATTTCGGTTCAGAAAAATGAAAATTTTTTAATGACTTCTCTCTATGATTAACTTGAATCGTACCTTAGAGCATTAGAGGCACTAGGTGTAACTACTGATAAATGCACTTTGATACTTTATCCGATGGTTGAATCTTGTTTTCAAGAAGGGTTCCTGAAAGCATGGAACAGAAGTGGTTCTTACGCAGCCTCAACTGATGCTAAAGAACGATTGAATAATTTGAAGACTTTCCTTAAAACCGAAACTGAAGGAGAGAAAAGAATAAATTTAGCCATGGCTGGGTTTGGATTGAGTTCAAGTGAAAATAGCCTAGCTTTTAGGAAAAGGGGAAAGCCTTTGAAGATGCTGTTAAACTGGAGGACACATCCGATGTTATACCTAGCGATGAAGGTGGCAGGGGGAGAAAAAGAAAGTGCATGGCAGCAGCTGAATCAGCTGATGATGAGCAGCCTATCGGAGAGTGGAGACGCAAGATGCCTGCACCCAGGTGTGTCTCCTCGGCTTCCTAGCAGGCTCTTTGAAGATGACCAGCAGGTGGTCATTTCATCATCCCCTGCCACTACTTCCTTCCCTCGAGTAGTAAACCTAGTTCCGGAAAGCAGTGCTGCCCCCTATCGAAGATTAAGCATGGGTCAGTAAGCAGGAATTTGAAGGAAGGTGCTTAAAGTTATTTTGAAATATTTTCTTTATTTTTTCACTTAAAATATGTTTAATTTTTTTTTAATGCAACCTTCAGCTAAACTGCTTGGTTAGTTAATACAACCAAAGTTGTACTGGTTTTATGAATGATACTTAGACACAGGTGTTCTGCATCTTCTGTGCACACTTTTTGTAAAAATAAAAATGTCATCCCTTAAAAATGCTAAAATTTTTTACTCATATTTCATTTAAAAGTAAATACTCTTTGCTCAAATAATAATTACACACTGGTAAAATTATGTGTTTACAGTTTTAAATCTGATTACCATGACAAATATTTTCTTTATTAAGATTATT